GCTGCTACAAGACTTTTACTTTAAAGCCCCTTGGCTGTGGCGGTCCCCAGAACGCACAGGCAAGGGAGCAAGGATGGTGTGATGCTCACCGAGCGCTCTGGGCACCAGCAGCCCCTTGGAGAGACAGATCTCATCTGCTTTCCTGAGCTCAAAGAGAAGAGATACCAGGGCTGAAGGTACCCCTTACACCTTTTATGGGAAATACGTAGGTTAGTGATATAAAATCTCTGTTTTCTCTTGAGATGTAAAGGTCTTAGGAAACAAAACAACCTACGTGGCAAAGCTGACACTTCCCGATAGATCCAAACCTCCCATAAACCCTGGTGATATTCAGATATTTGGCCCAATTATAAACCTTTTCAGCTGGCTCCTGGTTTTGTGCCAGTGTTGAAGCCTGCTAGAGTACATCTAATGTTAATTTTTAACTAGGCAGACATGCCCAAATGCCTATTTGTTAATGGGAAGGTTAACTAGGCAAAACCAAACCTTCAGAACTTCTGTTTTGCTGTCCTCCAAATCCTCCTCTCCCTAACATCTTTTTTGTACCAAAGGCCACATTAATAACAGAGTCAAAATCCAATCAAGACAACAATCTAGACTAATCATTCTTCCTACTGCTTCCAGATAAAGCTTTAACCAACCTGTATCTTCTCCCTTTCCTATCCCCAAAGCTCAGCAGGCGCTCCTCTGGGCTTGTTCCCCAGCTGTCATAGGCAGTACCCAGGTAGGAAGGGACTAAATTTTCTCCTGCCCCTGCTACGGCTGGCCCCCCGCATTCAGGCGGGGGCAGCTGGACGGCAGCTGGGGCAGACTGCAGCCACCCGCACCCCCGGGAGCCAGTGCTAAACCCCCGCCATCCACAGGTGTACGGGGGTACAGCCCGATGGGTGGACTGACAGGGACACCACGCTCTGAAATTCAGTGTTCACAGACAGATGAGAGTTAGGGCAATTGTGGGAAACATAAGAAAACAACAAAGAGATCATGGGAAGGAAGAGGATTGTCCAAGTCTGTCAGGACTCTAACAGAGCTTAATTTTACGAAAGGCCCTGCAGTGCTTTGACGGCTATAAAAAAAGCCTTCCCAGTCACTGGAGCCTTTGGCTAGTGCAGCAGCCGAGGTCACCACGGCCTCAAAGGCCGTTACAGAGGCCTGAGATCCTGGGAAGAACAAAATTAGCACGTAAAAGAAAGATTTAAAATACAGCTCTGTCCTGCATAGGTTTCCTACACTGCTAGTTCTACAGCCACACGTCAGAAAAAAGCCTGCCCTACCCACCCTGAAAGCTGGGCCATTTTTTATTTAATCACTGAAATAGGTAGGGCAAGTACCAAACCAAAATATCACAGTCACTAAACTAAAGTATTTTATGTTAGAGGCCTAGATTCAAAACTGGTCTTGATATTAAGAAGGAGTTTGCCATTATTGAAATGCCCCATTGCAAACAGTGGGGGAAAAAGAAAAAGAAGTGTTTGCAACCACAGTGCCAGAGCTGTTACTGCTGGCCTCCCACGTGCACGCAATAGCCCCCAACAGCCCAGAGCCTCTTCCCCACGGCACTCGCGCCCGTTTGCCAATCAATCTGCCATCCTCACCTCGGGGCAGGTCCCGAGCAGGGGACACCCTGCGAGGGGGGCACGGGGCTGGCTCAGAGCGAGGGAGAGCCGAGCCGGGTTACTCCACGTGCCTTTACACCTGCCTGCACGACTGCCCAGCACCAGCACTTCCACAGGTATCTGCCAGTGCTCTCCTCCTACCCAGCGTGCTCAAGCATCATCCCCGGAAGTATTGCCGCAGGAGATCGGTATCTATGGAAACCACATTTCCAAATGCCATTCCATCAACTTCTCCGGCACCCGAACACAATTCCTGAAAGGACGGCACGGCTCCTACCACTGCTGCCCCAAAGCACCCTGCTCCAGGGCAGCTAACGTACCTGCCTGGGGAGGTGACGCTGCGGGGACTCACTGCACCGCGTGTGAGGATGGCATTTGTCTCGTCAGAACTAATACCAGGCATATGGGGAAGCGCAGTAGCCGTGCTGCCTGCCCGGGAGCTGGGAAGCAGCCTCATTTGCAGAGGTGTCCAAGTTGTCAAAACAGCACCTGTGCTGACTGGTGCTGGCCCTCCGAGGGCTGGGGGAATGTTATCCAGCGGGCACAAGGCGAGCACTGGGTACACAAACCTTTGTGTGTTGCTTTTGATGATTAAAAACCTCACAATATTCTACTGGATTCTTCAAGCTGTAGTAAGGCAAGGATGGGCTGCTTTATACTTGTAGAGCATGGTTTTCTAGCAACACTCAGCTCTTAAAAAGGCAGGCAAAATTTCCATTATTTTAAATAATGTTCTAGCTAGAACATAGGAAAAATGTCGTATTTTGACAGAGGAATGAGATGGGGCAACAGATCCAATTTTTATTCTCACCGGATTGCATCTAACCTCTCCATTTCCTTCTGTTATTAGATTTTAGTTGTGAAATCTATTGCAATAAGTAGGAATAAGCTAATTCTTTCATGAATAAATATAAATGCATAAAGTGGATACACTACTTAAACATTAAAATAGTTCCTTTATAATTTTATTTTCACTGATAGGTAACTAAAAAAGATAAAGAGTTACACAATGAGTTTCCCATGTAATAAAAATTCAGTGTCAAATTTGGGTTGGCAGAATACACTTGCTTTCAGTGAAAATGGTTCTTTATGTCATGTATTGTGGTGAAATGCACCCAAATGCCAGGGTTAAACTGAATAAGCTCATCAGTTTCTACAAAATCAACACACCTTCCTTAAGGATGATCAGCTCACATGTAAAACTACCACCCCCCCACCTTGCTTATTTTTAGCAGCTGTGGCCACAGAACTCAATCTGAGAAGTGCTCGGTAACACTATTATAAGCACGGCTAACACAGCCCGAGACTTTGCAGACTACACGACCGAAAGCACTGAAGCAAGAGGGTTATATGGGCCCATTTACTAAAGATCAAGAGAAGTGCTAGAACTGACCCGTCATGTCTGCACGGTTAGAAATTTCAAACTCAAGTTTGGCAAATGTCATGACAGGAGTTAATCATCACCTCTGTGCACGGACCCTCGCTTTTTCAAAGTATATGTCTGGGACTGCAAGCAGTCTGATAAAAGGGGAGGGGATGACTATTACGGTATAGTATGTGGATGTTCTTTCTTAGTGCAAAGGAACAACCTACCCAGGGAAGTGGGCGGCAAGAGCACGTTAATAAACACGTGCAGTTAAGTCAATGAGATGACAGCTGGTTTGGAGCTGCAAAGCATCATCTTCCTTCCCAGCACCCTGCCCATCTCTACTTTCTGTACTTCAAATAATTACTTGTATAAAACTCTAACCCAGGGACTGCAATTTCCTATGCAGGATACAGAACGCACTGATTTCTAGCAATGTCTATCTAATTCACTGTCGACCTCTGTTGACTACACGCTTTTTACTGGAATGTATATGAGCCTCTCTGCAAGCCCAGAAATTTCCTCTGCATTCTACAGAATGAATGGACACAGATAAAAAGTTATGTGCATTGTCTTTCTATAATATATTCTAGAATAGCCATTTAGTGGACATACATCAACAGCCTGCATGTAATGCCCACACGCACTCTTTCAGGCACTAATGGTACATACTTTTTTGCATTTATGGCATTGATTAAAGCTAGAATCATCATCACAATGTCTTGCTGAAATCCACTAAATGCCTCTTAACAGCCACTCCAAAACCTTACAAAAGGATTTCCACAACTCATCTGGGCGAGGGGAGCAACAGACAGGGGAAGGGTGGAGAGGAACTCCTTCTCTGGACTAATCCACACAACAAAGAGGTAACAAGGGATCCCATCTTACCTGGGGGGTTCTGGAGGAGCTTGGGCTGCTGGCAGCTGAAGACACCATGCTCACATTGGGGTTCATACTTCTCTCTCTCTCGTCCTGGTAGATACGATCCCGCTCCGAGTCAGGCAAGTTGAGGAAATTCTGCATTGCCCTTAGGTTTACCAGGAGGGACTGGGAAGCTGTCCTAGGGTCTTCTTCTTTACGCAGGATCTCTGACAACAAGCCCTGGTTCAAAAAAATTAAAAAAAAAAAAAAAAAAAAAAAGCCAGTCATGTGTTGTTGCTTTTTGGGTTTTTTTGGGTTTTGGGGTTTTTTTTGGTTTTTTTTTTTAATTTGTTTAGTGTAACCAGCTGGGTTGCAATACTGAGAACCTACAGCAGAATCTCATGGGCTCTCCCAGAGGGGATATTTTTTAGGAAAGTATTTGTCTTCTGGGGGCTGGGGTTTATTTTGGGACTGTCCTATTCTGGCACTGTAATAAGCTTCTGAGTATGAGATGCTGGATAGGAAGGTAGGTGCATTGGGTAGGAGAAATTGCAGTTACCACCAGGTGCTTGCTGCAAATATTTTAGGAGCTGTTAGATCTCTCTCTCTTTTCACTTGAAGCTGGGAACACTTGGCAATCCTGTTCATCTTTGACAAATCTGCCAAGGTTGGTAAATTTAGTTTCGACATTTAAACAGTGCAGGAGGTTTATAAAGAAAAACGTTTGGCTGTTTTTTGATGTTATAGTCCGTTCATTTTGGTTTGGACAGTCATTTTTGAGAGGAGAAAAATGGATCAATAATAAAGCCTTAGAATCTAGCTTTAGGGATTTTACCCGTTCTTTCATGCCTCGTTTTAAAATACCACAGGCTTCACGTTGCAACCATGACTGAACACCATATTAATCTAAATTTTACAAAAGCCATTATTCTGGGAGGTAACCAGCACAGCACTTCCAAAAAAAAAGGAAAGGGGGGAAAAAAAAAGGGGAAAAAAAAAAGAAAAAAAAAAAGATAGTTGGAAAGATGAAAATGTCATTAAAAGAAGCTTAAATCTACCAATGGGATTAAATTTATGGATAACTGTACGCACTCAACAGTTCCACAGATTATCTAGAAGTTAAAGGCACAACATATGTGATATGTGCCTGGGTCAGGGCCTACAGAAACTACCAGGACACGGCGTGTGCCATCCACCAGCTTCCCCCAGGCACCCCCTTGCATCCAACACTTCACAAATGGGTATTCCACTCTAAAAAGCAGTGACAGCAATTTCCTGAACTATAGATGTTTAAATGTACCAGTGTGCAAAGAAGCAGAGAGGGATCATTTCTACCCATCGAGACTACTTGTAATATATTGTAAGAAATGGTGGTCGTTATCGTTATTTTAAAAAACTATTCTGCCAGCGTTTCCCTGAGCGGTGCCATACCCTTCCCGCTTCCCATCGGCCAGCACCCAGCGGCTCTCTGCACTGCTGCTCCCAGGAACGCCGGCCACAGGAGCCGCATGAAATCCCAGTCGGAGCTCGGAGGGCTCACCTCGACCTGCTGCTGTGAGAGGAGCAGCAGTCAGCAACCGCGTGCAAAGGGGTGCCGCAGAACCCCAGACATGATTTAGCTGTCGCTGTTGACGTGAGCATTTTGCAGTTACTTTACAGCCACGACCGAGGCAAGCTGCCTCATGAGTACAGTCAAGGCTCACTCCCTTCTTGTAAGAAAAATGTTACTAGAAAACAACCACGCAGTCAAAACCCTGTAATATTTAGTCTTAGTTTATTTTCTTCCGCATGAGAGAGTCTCCTCCAAAAACCCTTGATAAAGCACTGCCACTACAGTTGGCCAATTAACCAAATGCCTGCATTTTTAGTCTATATTGATCTTATTTACCAGACTTCCTGACAAAATCAACAGACCAGCAAATGACTTATCTATATCTGCATTTATCTGCTATTAAACACCTACATTAAAACACATACATGAAAGCTCTACTTCAGCACTGTTTACGCCAGAAGTGCTCAAAACAAGCTTCACGCACAACCTGAAGGTAGGTTGCACACAGCTCCAGCTTTTCAGCTCCTCATCTACGCAATCAAGCTAAGAGATTCCCAATTATATTTTCCTGCAATTATCGGAGTAGTTACCAGAAGGACTGGAGCTAGGAATGGAGCCGGGAATGGAGCCATGGTGGGACCCTCCAGTCAGAAATGGGATCGGAGGGAGAAGCCGGCTGCTGAAAAAGGTCTAGACTGGGAAGCTAAGGATGTTTTGAAAACCTTTCCAAAGTTTGCCAAGCTGACGGGCTGAGGGTGATTAACCAAAAAAGGACATTACAGAAGCTTGAATGACTTGAATGATCCCAAGACCGATACAGCAAGTTCCTATTATAATTTTCTCTTAAAGTCAGTGGAGAATTCTCCAAATGCAGTAAATAAATGAAGTATCAGTTCCACAGATTCTCTAAATTCTTAATTCCCTGGGTCTTTTAAAGGATACATGACCTCTCTTTTCTACAGAAAAGATCAACTTCAAAAATTTATGAGTATGGGTAGAAAGAAAGGTACACGAAAGCTACTGGAGCTGACTCTGAGGCAGTTTTTTCTCCCTCTCATCTCAGCCTGGCAAATTTATGGTCCAATTTCAAAAATGGAGAGCAGAAACATATGTGAAAGCATGCCAGCAATTACTTTTCAGTGCAGTCATTGACTGCCTACGTAAATCAGTGGCTCACAGGTACAAGTGGCTTGGTCATGGCACTAAGAGGCATCTCACTGCCCGAGATACCAACTCTCGTGCTTGGAGGCTCCGATTCATCACCAGGAACAGCTTATCATGGGGAAGTTTCAGTCGTTTTGAACCCCAGCCTGTGCCTCTTGCTTCTACGAGGGTCTCATCTCTGCCCCACTCCCCCGTGCCCAGCTCCAAGTCCGCAGGTAGAAAACCTGATTGCAAAGAGGGTTTTTCTGCAGCTCCTCCAAGTGCTTTGGCAGCTTAGGAACCATGTAAACAGCAGGGCAGATAATAAGAAAACTGACTCAGAGGGAAAAATCTCATGTCCTCCTGCAACTGAAGATAAACAACGCTGGTAAACAACAGTGGCTAGATAGCCGAGTGATAGGGTAGGACAATAAAATAAAGTATCTTGAGAGCAATAACGTTTACAATAATATAATTCTGAGCTACTGAACTATACACAAACTAACCAGTGAGCAACATTATAAAAAATAAAGTGATATTAAATAATCTGTTCAGCCTTTTTGTCACCTGCAACAAATTAGGCTTTCAATATGCAAAACATCTTCCTTCCAGAAAAACAAATGATCATGATTTCATTTAATTGTAATTTAATGAGGCATAATGTATTTTTTAAAGTGATATACACCAGGTGTGTGGCGAGGAAACTGGCCCAGCCAGACAAACCCTACTGTTTCTATTTTTGAGAAAACCCTAAAGCCAACCAGGGACTGTTTTCATTTCTGCAAATTATGTTTCTGCTGGAGGGGTTGAGGGAGGGAAACCCACAGCATTCGTACATTTTTTATAAAATTCCATTGGCTAAATTAGCTCATTCCGACTTACTTACATCTCACATACTAAAAAAAAAAAAAAAAAAAAAAAAAAAATTAAAAATTGGCAGTTTGCAGAGTAACCAGCTCTGCAAATCTAAAATAAGATCTTCAGGGACTAGAAAGTCTCAAACTGATTTTAAATAGCCAAACATATCTTCTATACCAAACACAGCTCTCAGGATACATTTTAAGACATGTAGCTTGATAATATCTTTGCTTTTCTACTCCTGTGCATCATTTTTAAACCAGTTGCTTTGCTGAAGAGGCAACTGATCAAAAGTTTAATGTTCACACAGGCCATGCTCGCAAACGAGGTGTGCGCTCACCCCGAGACAAGGACTCTGCACAGGCACAGTTTGGTTTACCCTTGGAACTTGCACCGTTTTTAAAATTACACACTGGATCCATAATTGACTTTAAAAAAATAATACCAGCGGTGGAGAAAGGAGCACATGTCCAATCAAAATAAAAAAGTCACTGGATCCATTTAAGGTAGGAATAATTTTGACAGTGTTTTTTCAAACTAGCTGAAATGTAGTCCTTCGAGCCAGAAAAGTCACTGTCGGGAGGGACTGAGTTGCTTTGCACTCATTGTATGAAACCCCATTTGTGAACTAATTTCTTTTATTTTTATTAACTACAGGATTTCCAGGACAAACAACCCAAACCTCATGGGCAAGAAATCTTTTTTTAAGCAACTTCTGAAAGATGATGCAGTACAATGCAGAGCGAATGTTATTAAACTGACTCCTACATCCAAAGGACCAACTGACCAGCCTTCGGGGCCAACACGAAGGCTCAACCAAAGCCCGCAGAAGACGAGCGAAGCCTTTCTGCCTTCTTCCCAAAGGGCTTTGGCTCCAGCCTGGAAAGGGCGTAAATGAGATCTCAGTGGGACAGCAGACTGCACTACCAGTGATCGAACGCAGGACAGTTTTGCAACCAGAGCTTTTCAACAGCAATCTGGATGGGGGTGAGGAGGTCATGCTGGAGTGCAGCCCAGACAGCGATGTCCTGGGGACAGAGGAGATTCGCAGGCACTGGCCAGGACCTCACACGTGTCAGGTCCAATGACTTGGATGGCAGCTGTGCTCCCCCTCATACAGACCTAAGCAATGTGTCTACAAGAGCAGGCACTAAGGTTCAAAACAGGTTTTGGACAATCAAAACGCTGGTCAAGGCAAAAACTTAAATAAACCCAACTAATGTGCTAAACCTCAGTTTTTATGTTCTGTATAAGGAGATTATATATATGAAGGACTAAAAAACATAAACACTTTTTTTTCATACTTTCGGTTTATTTGTGCCTCTCCATATTTCAGCTATTGCCAAAAGCAACAGAGAAAATGCTGAAATACTAGAAAAATACTGCTCCTGTAGTACTTAAAGCTCCAAGTGCTTTAAGCCCACTACTTGTAACTGACACTCTCAATAGAAAAGCTATTCTGCTTTCCACGAGGTACAGATGCAACTCTAAACAGGATCAGAAAAATGTAGAGATTTATTCAAATTCAACACCTGAATCTTAAAGATCAGTGATGTAAACCTGTCCCCTCTCAGCATCCCCATTCAGCACGCAAGGCCTATTTCCAGCGTGGAAGGCAGCACTCAGGGAACCCCTGGTTAGCTACTCGTTCCTACTGAACTACACTGAAATCGTACCTTCAGCGTAC